TCATCCTAACGGTGCAAAGACCGTGGAGCATCTACGTTCGGTCTCCTCTATATCTTTTCCGTATAGTCCAATGAGCCAAACCGTAGGAGGACACGACAATATGGCATCCTACACCGAAGTCACGACAGACGACTGCCATAGTTGCTATCCGTTGGCCTATTCGACGCTCGAGAGTCTGCCAAACGTCAGATACCCGGGTCACTCGAGGGATTCATTCGATGCCGTTCTTCGCACTGTTCGGTCAGCACGAGAGAACATCTCGCAGCTTCTCAGGTGTTCATGCTCGTCAGACCCACACCTCGCTATGCTGTACTCTAGCATAACATCCAAGATTCTGGCCTGGTATCAAACCGCTGCTAGCGTTAGTCGCGGACCCCGTACGAGCTATCCAGTCTCGGCATCGCTTCCTTGGAACTACTGCCAGCCTCTGCCTTTCCCGCAGACCGTTTTCTCCCCTTCGTCTGTGTCGAGCATTGGGGACGCGGAAAATTACAACCTGTACATGCAGTCATCTCCCTTCACCCAGTACAAATTTGACGACGGTGAGCAAGAGAGACATAGAAGACAGACAATCCTCAATGAGTTGCGAGGATGTGCGCAACTCGTTGAGGCACTGGCTAATTGGGGAGGTAATGGCGATACTTGCGAGCAGGCGGGGCACCTGTATGAATTTCTAGGAGGCTGGCTGAAGAGCCAACTGTGTATGATAATGAAGCAGATCGAACACAAAGAGTCTTCGACGGCTCAAGCTAATGAGGAGGATCGATAATCAGGAAAGGAATGGGGGGTGCATTGGAGGCATTTTGCTGCTGTTTAATAACCACGGTTTCTTGTGACTGGTGGTAGTCGAGCTTATCACCTAGTAATGTTAATCAAAAGTCCTTCGTTCTTATACTCTTAGTGGCAGTAGGAAACATATCTCGTCGATGCGCAGATATTCAGACCACAGTAGCCTGCTCTGCGGCTGTGTTTGTCGAGCTGTTGTGGAGCCACCCCGGATTTCCCCAGTGCACGTGCACCTTCACATGCCTCGGCTCAAACCGCAGCAAGCATCACAGTACTGGCTCACATGCAAGCTACACCATCTCCAACCTCCAGCACCGCCGTTACGAGAAATGACAGTCTTCCCAGAGAGGATGTCCACGGTCAACAATGGCCGTTCAGTCTACCTTGCGAAAGCCTCATGACCCGCTCCTAGCACTCTACGACCGCTATGCGACGCTCCTCAAGTCCCGCGTCCGCGGCGCCTCCAAGCTCACGAAGCTGCTATCCACCATCACCCTCCTCTTTACGATCATAGGCACCGGCTATGGAGGCACGAGATGGTACAAGAGCTGGCGCGCAGAGAAGGAGACCGGCCGACGGTTGCTGAGGAGGAACTCGGGACTCAGGAACAAAGATGGCTCTAGGACCATTTACGTGCCCTATCGCGACTCGACGTCCAAGGTCGTTATTCATCCCACCAAGCAAACCACATTCGATGCGCATCGCAGACTATTCCTCCAGCCGCCACGCGCAGCCCGCATGGCTGACACGACCTCGAGCGACCCGCAAGCGCCGCCACCGCAGACGAAGCCCGGCCTCAACTTGGCCTTCCTACACCAGTTCCTGAGCCTTCTGAATATCATGATACCGCGTTGGAATAGCAAGGAGACGGGTCTGCTGGTCAGCCATAGCGTCTTCCTCATGCTGCGGACGTACCTGTCACTAGTCGTGGCGCGTCTCGACGGAGAGATCGTGCGCGACCTTGTAGCAGGCAACGGCAAGGCATTCCTGTGGGGCATAGTCAAATGGCTTGGTGTCGGCACCTTCTCTTCATACACGAACGCTATGATCAAGTTCCTGCAGAGTAAGGTCTCCATCGCGTTCCGAACGCGACTCACGCGGTACATCCACGACTTGTACCTGAACGACCATCTGAACTACTACAAGCTACAGAATTTGGACGGAGGTGTAGGCGTCGGGGCAGACCAATACATCACACAAGATCTGACGCTATTCTGTGCGAGCGCTGCATCCTTGTACTCGAGCTTAGGAAAGCCGTTTGTGGATCTTTGCGTCTTCAACTACCAGCTCTACCGCTCTTTGGGACCGCTAGCACTGACCGGACTGCTGAGCAACTACTTTCTTACCGCGACAGTGCTGCGAAAACTGTCTCCGCCCTTTGGCAAACTCAAAGCTGTCGAAGGACGAAGAGAAGGCGAGTTCCGCGCTCTGCACTCTCGACTCATTGCAAATGCCGAGGAAGTGGCTTTCTACGGCGGCGACGAGATGGAAAAGCACTTCCTCGAGCGAGGATTCAAGGACCTCAAGCACTGGATGGAGGGCATATACAGCCTCAAGATCCGGTACAACATGCTTGAAGACTTCGTGCTGAAGTACTCATGGTCGGCCTTCGGTTACCTGGTTACTTCGCTCCCAGTTTTCTTACCCGAATGGGGTGGCGTGGGAGGCACACCTGAGCTCCCTGGAGGAGAGAAATCACACCGCGAGAGAAGCCGTATGAAGGACTTTATCACGAATAAGCGACTGATGTTGTCGCTTGCCGATGCCGGCGGTCGCATGATGTACAGTATCAAAGATCTTTCTGAGCTGGCTGGCTACACATCACGCGTCTACACCCTGATCAGCACTCTCCATCGTGTCCACGCAGAAGCATACTACCCTCCACCCGGCACGCGACCCGAACTCTATTCCGTCTCCGATATCCAAGGCACAGTCCACAAGGGCTTCGATGGAATCCGCCTCGAACATGTTCCAGTCGTCGCCCCAGCCCTGCACCCCATGGGCGGCGAAGAACTCCTAGAATCCCTATCCTTCATCGTTCACTCCGGCGAGCATCTCCTCATCACCGGCCCCAATGGCTGCGGCAAGAGCGCCGTCTCGCGCATTGTAGCTGGTCTCTGGCCCGCATACCGCGGTCTTGTCAGCCGTCCCCGCAGTATCGGCGTGGACGGCATCATGTTCCTTCCTCAACGACCCTACCTCTCCACCGGTACCCTCCGCGACCAAGTCATCTACCCTCACACCGATGCCGATATGAAGGATGCAGGCCGCCGCGACTTTGAACTGTCGCAAGTTCTCGAAGAAGCCAAATTAGGTTACTTGCCTGATAGAGAAGGTGGCTGGGACACGAAGAAGGTCTGGAAAGACGTCTTCAGCGGTGGAGAAAAGCAGAGAATGGGCATTGCGAGACTGCTATATCATGAACCCCGGTACGCATTTGTGGATGAGGGCACCAGTGCAGTCAGTAGCGATGTCGAAGGCCTACTCTACGAACGCGCAAAGGCCAAGGGCATTAGTAAGTATCCCACTTCCCTTGTCATGATGACTTCAGCTGACTCACACACTCCAGCATTGATCACGATATCCACGCGCGCATCCCTCAAGCGCTACCACGATTACACACTAACCCTAGGCATGGGCGACCACGGCGACGAATGGGACTTTCAACGCATAGGCACTCAGTCTGAGAAGTCAAGCGTCGAGAAAGAGTTATCAGAGCTGAGGGAAAGGCTTGCCAAAGTCGATGAGTGGAAGAAGAGACGAGTGGAAATCGAGGCAGAGTTGAACAGGGTGTGGGTAGAAGGCAAGGATGAAGAAGGTGAGACCGAAGAACTGGCACCGCCGCCATACTTGGAACGAGAGGAAAAGGCCGACACGGCGAGTACAAACGAGGATGATACTGGCGATAGAGATAGGGAAGAGGCGGTCGAAAGTGGAAGTGAAGGAATTTCGCCGTCCAACTAGTGTAGGTATTGAAACACATCATTCTTCCCGACCAAGTCAGCTGTGCGACCCCAAAAAAACGGTGCATACCTTCTGTTGACCTTTTTCCAGGGCACATGATGATGGCAAAAAAGAAGAAGAGAAAATGGGCAAAAAAATACAACAGCGGGTGGGTCCCCGGTGGTCACCCACCCGAGTACTAATGCGCCGGTATCATGCTTGTATATGGCTGAGTGGAGTCTTTCCGAAGATCACTAACACTAGTAGTCGCTATCAAGATTTTAGATATTCACTTAGGGAGGGTGGAGGAATGGACACGGAAATCACGGGAGACGCTTGCACTATCAGGAGTGGGGAAGACATGATGAGAGTGAGAGAGGATAGTGCCTTTGTTAATGATAGTTGATAGTTAGCCTCTCAATGCTGCCATAGAGCGCTGTTGCTCGGGGGTTTGCTTGCATGCCGTTGCCCGTATTGTTGTTTTGGGATAACGCTTCATAGTTGTTCCTATGATGTGCAATGGCTTTGTCGGGATCCTCGGAAAGTTGGTCTTGAGGAGATTCTGCCGATGATGCCGTGCCACTGTCCGCGCATGTTCTCTTGCTGCGCGACTGCAGCTCGATGGGTGATCCACCTGCATTCAGCACCTCGTCCGTACTACGATGCCTCCTCCTCCGCCACCAGCACCACGTCGCCCCGGCAATAAGCAAGCATATAATCGGTACGACAGTGCTGACGATAACTATGGTCTTTGTGGGAAGTTTATGCTCCGGTGGCGTTTCATCATTGGGGTTCTCGAAAATGTCTTTGACCTCCTGCGACGCCCACTTCGGCGGGAATAGATCTCTATTCTCATCAGTACTAGACAGAAAGACGGATGCAGGCTAACAGCACTAACGGGTTCTCATATGATCTTCTTACAAGTTCTGACGCAGTGTAAGGCGGAGCAGATGCGTCGTAGCGGTCTTTCAACACTAGTTTGTTCATGTCAAAGACACCAATACCCTGCGACCATTCGTCTGTCATATTCCATGGTGCAGTGGATTCGGGATTGTGGCCGCCGGTGCAGATGGCTTGGTTGTTTATGGAAGAGTGGCATTGCATATTTACCCGGCGTGGGTAGTTCGTGAAAGTTGTCTTGATCCATCTGCATGCCGGAAGAGACAGAACATAGATGGTGTCGACCTCGGACGACTGATCGAAGCGACCGTAAGCGAATCGGTTCATTGGTCAGCAGTGTGAAACAAGGTAAGTGCCAGCCGCGGCAATACTTACATCTCGAAGGTTTTGTTTTTCTCATCAAATGCAGAGAAGAAGGCAAGTTTATCAGGCTCTAACCCCAACCTAGGAGGGTCTCCTGTAATGGGCTGATGGTATGATCGATTCTTCTGCTTGTCATAGATCCACAGGTTGCTCCAGCCGGATCCAAAGTCATCGTCCGTAGCGTTTGGATATTGTCGTCCTCCAATGGAAACTAGTGTGCCATTTGGTCCAAACGGTATGTTGAGCAGAGGCCCTGGTATTTCGTGCGGTTCTTTGAGACCAGTGTTGCGGGATGCAAAGAATTGTCCATCGTTTGTCGTATTGGTGATCTGTTTCGTGTCGAAGTCGAATTTGACCAATCCCGGAACCCCGAAATATTGGGTGAAGTTGCTAATTTCTAGCGTTGTCCAATGCGATATTTGACCTCCTATGTAGTAGCCCCCTTCATTGTCGTATGCATATGCGCCACAAGCAAGCTGTTGGAAATTTTCGGGCATTGGTGTTGGGGCGTTCTTTCCCACTACCTTGACCCATGAGCCAGATGCGTCAGGCTTTACAGAAAGTGCCCAGACCTCTGGTAATCGATCATTATAGAATGGGTTGTATTGGGTGTCTTTGGTGTGGCCGTCGGCGGAAAGTTGCCCGCCCCAAACATAGACTGTGTTCTGCTTCCTATCCACGAATAACGCCTGGCATGTTAGCCCTGAAGCATCGGATACGATATACTGGGCATTAAGAGTTCGGTTGTTCCAGTCTTCATTAAGAGAAATCAGGTAAGTCTTGTGTTCTGCCGTGTGCTTGTAAGTAGCTGCCAGACCGTAGTAAGCAGGCTCACTTGCGGTAGAGGAGGCGCAAGTTGACATCAGATTCTAAACCTCCGTGAACGACGAGGAAGTCGCCTGAGCGTGCGACTATGGTGTTCAGTTCATTCTGTACGACGTAGTAGATAGTAAGCCATACCTGCATGACCCGCACGGCGAACTTGTGGGCCCTGTGCATATATGGTAACAGGGAAGAACAATGAGCGCAGAACGCAAACGAGAACCCTGCGTGGGTTGTGGGAACGGTAAAGAGAGAAAAACATTGACAAGCAAGAAAGCCGGCATGAACCGCTGTTGGCGGTTCTTATCGCAGGGCATAGCTTTTGGGGAATGGGACTGGTCCGTGGGTGGATGCTGCCAAATCACTCGTACTGCCCTAGACGCCGGCAACCATCCGCATGCAGGTTGCGTGCCTTCGAGGTTCTTCAGCCGCACCAAAACCACCCTATCTAATTGTGCAAGATTGGGCGCTTAGATCCGGGACCATGTTTCAGTCAGGAACTGCTCCGGTGCGCAAACCATGTGGTAAGATTAAAGGTGTGCTACAATAATGGGTGCATTTCGCGACAACAGACCCTAAAACTGCTGACCAAAACGCGTCACATCATGAGTAGAATGCTGATTCGAGCAGCATATCGAGTGTATCCCTCAGAACAAGACACCTGTTTTATCGCTAGTAGATACGGGACAATCAGTAGGGCAATATGAAGCGCGAACGCCACTTGAAGCCACCAACATGCCGTGTCACATGGGCTGCAGAACAGGCAAGAAAAAGTAAACACGGCTGAGATGACGGCCAGATCCGGCGTCTGGGAGATGACATGCCAAGTAAGAGCTTGTGAGGGTGTACTAAACGCTTACTGTCCAGTCAGTGTAGCAACCTGGTTGATCTCCAGGGCTCTCTGTAATCGCAACCCAACCCCCACATTGTCCGTATGGTATGCACGCACGCTGGAGCCGATTGCCAACCAACGCGCTCAGCCGCCGGCCGGTGAGCCATGAACGAGGCCATGAAACTGCCTTCCTACAGGGTTGTAGCCTTGGACTTCCTCTCGACCTATGATAAGTCGATACCTAGATTACCGAACCGGTGAACCTGATCGTCTCAAACATGCTGGCGCCCTGATTTACGGGTAGTGTTCCGATGAGTGTGATATCGTGCGGCCTACCTTAGATGACGGCACTTGTCAAAAACAACCTGTCCGGTCAAGTATTGGGGTCGGGGCTGCTCCATTCATTTCGATACGAGTACTCTCCTCCAAAATGTGGAAGTCCCTTAAACGCTTCGTCCACACCTCAACCCCATTGAACAAGCGAACCAGAGGTACTTCGAAAACGACTGGGCTCCCATCAAACAACATGGAGAGCATCGACAGCAGCGGAGACGATCGAACGATTCAGAACCTTACGAACAACCTCTCGACTATCTCCGCACTCCTCGATGATCCCCAGGCTCACGGTCTTTCGGGAGAGGTTACGGAATACGGGTGCCTTCTAAAAAGCTTCTAGCTTATGTTGACTTCCGGAACAATCCGTCTAGCTACCGCACGCGACGAAGAGAGGCGCAATATGGTGTCGCATGTAAGCTGGTTCCTCAGCTACTTACAGGACTATCAAACGACTGCAACCCCGCCCCAGGCCCAATTTTTCTCGTCAGCGACATACATCTACAACTTCATCAACCGTTCTACCATCGGCAATTCTACCACCAACGATTCCGAAGAGATTCGACGCTTGCGCGAGGCGTACGAACGCTTAAAAGCCCTTGCGGTCGAGCCACAACCTACGCATGTGCAGCGCAATGAAGTGAACAACGGCGCCACGTCTCACCAATTCATAGGAAGACATCAGAACAACAACACAGGTGGAGGTTTCCAGCTAAATGGTAACACAACCGGTAACACAGGTCATTTCTATCAGGGAAATGGGCAGAGTGGAAGTCCAAACACTCAGGTGTAGAACGAGTGTGAAGCGGTGCAGGGCACTCGGTTTAAGGTATCTCGTTGGAGTGTCAAGAGGCGGGTACATGTGTGATGTCTTGAGTTTGAAGTATTTGTTGGGTAATAAGATTTAGTTTTAACGTATGATGATATGGCTTGGAGTACCGCTTTTGTTTCGATATATGTGTACCGTGATGTGTTGGGCTCGATGTAGTTGGGCCGGATCTATCTCAAATTGATCGGTCCAGTGAAATCACCCGAGAGTTGAATGCCAGATCCCGTGTTGTTGTACTGTGTGCCGCCATAGGCAGTGAATTGAGTCCCCTTCTTCGCAGACGGATGTATTGAGTGTCGGTAAGAATTTCCAGACTCATCCTCTCCACTCTCTCTGATCGCTCTACGCAATCTTTTGAACGCTTTCTGACGCCCTTCCCCATATACAAGGGGCATGGAAACATCGCATATCCCTAACAGCGAATACGCATAGTCTTCCTCGCGTTTAGCTTCGCGATTACTAGCCCAGGCCATACGTTCGTTGATATCAAAGTCGAATATAGTGTGTTGTTCACGCAGTACTCCCGCGAGGATTCCGGTGATACCAACGATCTCCTCGAGAAGCCTCTCTCGGTTTCCTAACCATTTGTGATTGGCAGAGAAGAATTCGACAGCTCGTGGCGCAAGGAGCTCCTGAAGTGTCCACATCCGGGTGAACCATCTGCTGTTTCTGAATGCTTGTTTCCAATAACCCTGGCCGTTCTCAACGCTGTCCTGACATTGTAATAAAACATCCGATAGATACACGTAGCATCGGCTAGCTTTCTGATACCATCGAAACATCGAATTTATCGCTTCCGAGAGCTCAGCACTGCTCTGCTTATTGATGCAACAAGTGTCGATCCAAAAATGTTGTAGGTTGTCTAATGAAGCTTGTTTTCCGCAGAACACAAGCTTGTCATAGCCCTTTTTCTCTCTAGCTGTGTTATTTAGTAGGTCTTGGTATGTAACCTCGTCCCCGTTCTGCCCCCAGGTATGTGAGAGGATAGCATATTCAGGAAGGCTATCCCCAAAGTACTCGACGAGGCTGAAGGAATCTGCGCCATGCAGCTGCAGAAGATGCATAGAGGCAGTTCGGGATGGCTTGACCAGCGGTCATGGACACAAGGAAGAGCTCAACGGGTATACATCGGTATGTAGCGAAAAGGCCGTAGTCGGCACTTGCGCGGGTGGTGGTAAAAGAGAAGTATGAGCGCGAGCGGCAGGCCAACAGTCCGGGTTGCATGCCCAGGTGCGCTTGCAACCATCAGTGAGCTCCCGTGACGCGAGGGCTCTTCAAGCTTGCACCTTCTCAGCGGCCTCTCATGACCGTTGCCGATGCAAACCTCGCTCGCAGCTCCACGGCGCACGTCTCCGGGCAGGTGCAGCGGTCGATTAGACACACCAAAAGGCAGTGTTTAAACCATAAACTTAGGTGGTGCGGCTGTCTGATCTTTTGACGTTCGTGCTAAAATCACCTGGGCACCTGGGCACTCTTTACGCGACGCGTGTGACAGGCAAAATCAGAGGCTATCTAGGTACAATGCAGCTACTTTCTACTCCTTACAAGTGGTTTCACTAGTATTTTGCAATTCAGAACAACTGACAGAGAAGGAAGGGATGTTAACGCGATTATTCCGCGCGAGGTTAAATTCAAGCTAGCTCTGCCTCAATAACGCTTTCTACAGAGTGAGGTGGCCTCCATATGTTAAGCACGTTCAACCCCGCACTCTCCACCAGGGCCCGCCACTCAGCCTCCGTCCTCTCCTTCGCACCAAGGCACGCCATCATGGTGATATCGGACGTCGTCACACGAGCCAGCGGCTTCACAGAGCTAACCAAGCTTTCGTGAATGAGAAGCTTCGAGTACCCGGGTTCCATAGCTTCGGCAAGGTGAGAAAGGATCTGCTTCGCCTGTGTGTCTTCCCAGTCGTGCAGCACGTTGTGCATGAAGTAGGCACGGGCACCTTTCACTGGCTGTGGTTTAAAAAAGTCATGAGGGTGGATAGAGATAGTGTCGTCAATAGTCAGCTCCTTGAGAATATCGGGCAGGTCTTGGAGCACCAGACTGCCCTCGGGGATATCAGGGTGGCGCAGATGGAATTTGGTCAGGTCGTGGCCCTTGCTACCACCGACATCGACGACAAGGGGCCGGTCGGGCTTGTACTCTTTCACAAGAGTCTCAGTTGGGTAGACATCAACCCAGGGCGTCAAGTTATGCTTGGAGTGACTCTCCATGGCATCATTAAATTCCCTTGCGGCGGCAGGGTTCGCGCCAAGGGACTGGAACAGATTCTCATCTGAGCCCTTCATGAATTGCCAGTTGCAGTCGTTGGGGTTAGTAGGGACCTTGTATCCCGTCTTCTTGAGGTAGGCTGGCAAAGTCCTGAACATGGGGGCATTGACAAAGCCATAAAATTCACCATAGACGTTGGCGAGGGCCTGATCCTCAGCGAGAGCGTGTACCCACGGTGTAGGCTTATAGGTGTCCTCGGCGGTCTCGATAACAAGATTCTGCCCAGAAATTTGCCGAATCATGCGACCTGTATTGCCGTCAGAATGCTCATCATGAGTTAAGCAGAGCAGACTTGTAACCTACGAATAAGCACTACATCGGCACCCGTCAACTCGGCCAGTTCCGCGCAAGTCTTCTCTCCGCCTCCGGTCTCGATCCATTTGCTGAAGACACCCGCGTCAATCAACGTCTTGACGCATGCATTGGTGGCCGGGTTGACCCAGCAGTGCTGCCAAACAATGTCCCACGGCTTGTGTACTTTGCTCAAGGCCAGGGTCAGCGCGTCCATGGCACGGACGCGCTCTGCTTCGCTAACGAAGGAGTTCGCGTCGAGGCCCTCCAGGGCTCCGATAAGTTGGTCCGCTGATGCCATGTTGGAAATAGGAATTAATTTTTGGGTAAAGGTGCAGGAACAACGGGAACGACACGCCGTTTGCTATTTGACAAAGAGTAATGTTGTTATCTACCGTAAATCGTGGCCATATCTACCGGCGGACTGGAGGTTTCCAAATACTATAGTAGTTAGTAAATTTCTTGTAACAGTTAAGCGCGTACTAAGATCCATTCTTCCTCTGTGCACTTGTCCTGATACGTAAACTGACTTGAACGACACGTGATATGGCCAAACTTCTACGGAGTAATTTGTCCCGAATCGCATCTAACAAGCCGCACGATTTAATGCCATGCGGGTGGAAGTGGTTACCACTGATCAGTTGAGGACACGGTATGCGAAATTTGAGTGAGCAAGGATGTCTCAGGGGCAGACCCACCCGTTGGGCCCCCAACTTCTCACGCCACTCTTGGCATGTCGTGCTTGGCACGCAGTCCCTCGAACTCGTGCGAGCGACCTTGACAAGACCTATTGTAGCAGTCGAACTTTGGTGTTGCTGAAGAGTATGTATTGCGTTTCACAGTCCCTCGCCTTAATAACATTGCCTCAACAACATCATTTCAACAGCATCAAAGCTTGCCCAATCATATCATCACTAGGCCCTTGCTGCCCTATCGCGCGCGTAGATGTTTAGAGGAACTACTGACCCCCGCACTGATACCAAGCTACTTGTCACGATCATCAATTGGCTTCGCCCATCGGTCGCCCTTTGCGCTCGTCGTCACGTTAAACTCAAGCGTCTTGTGGATCTGGTCCGCGCCGTGGTAAACGAGCGGGATGTCATCGATGCTTTCACCGGTGTGGGTCGATGTCCTCTCCACGTCATCCAACTGATGCCTCAGAAGTTTTTCCCATCTTCCGCTGGTGCTGGATAGTCCTCCTCGGTGGGTGGCGCTGCTGCGTTGTCCCTGGCTAGTGGTCCTACTGCCATTACCACTGCCACTGAGAGTCCGAACCTTGCCTCTGACCGAGCGGAAGAGCGGGCCCAGTGTGGGCAAAGAGGAGCATACGACGAGAATACAACCCTCTCCTAGACCAAGTATATCGAGAAGCGGGACCGGGTCTAACAAAGTTAATTCTGCGCTGAGAAATATGTGGGGTGGAAGTCTCACAGGTCGGGTTCTCAGCCAATACTACAAAGATTTCCCCAAAAATTGTGAGTTTGTAGATGGTGAGGATGAAGGCCAGGATAGTGAGGCCCAGCGCGATCGAGACCAGGATGCGGTTCTTGAGTGGCATGTTGAGGCGCATAATGAATGGAATCGGGTACACAGCGAAGAACACATCTAGGAAGGCAGAGTAGGCCGAAGTGAAGTAGCCCAAATCTGACATGACCTTGGTACTGGCACATTTTCCGCCCGGTATGGTTCTGTCCCAGCCGAATTCGACCGGATCGCATTGCTTGTACCACCAGATCGAGGTAGCCAATATGCAGGCCTGGGAGCTGAGCGCGAGGCCCCAGAACAGTATCGTCGTTTTGAGGCCGTAATCCAGAATACGCTTGAGAATAGCGATGATGGCGAACTTAGGTAGCGAAAACGTCCATATCAGTACCGAACTGATGATCACATTCCACTTGAGAGCTCGCGGTATCAACGGGGGATCGATGGCCTCCATCCTCCGTCCGAGACCGTACTGTGTGCCGATCGAGATCAGGATGCAGGTGACGAGCATCACAACGACGCAGAATACGGTGATATAGTCGTCCATTCCAAGGCCACCGCCTTTGCTGGACATGCGAGTGCCGACTCTCAACGCCACGAACACTGCAAGACAGTTAGCTACCATTCGGCGCGACATAAGAGGGCTACTCGCCAGCTGTGACTGCGAACATAGACCAGCAAGCCCTATCAGCGATAGTGCCATAGTCTTCCACGTCCCACAGTCCCATGGTGTTGACGATTGGTGTTGCAAAGGTTTGCGGAACGTTAGACGCTCCTGGTGTGATAAAGTGGGCTCATTGTTAGATACACTGCCGTCGGATGCGTAGCATGCCGCGTAGGATTGCGCGTAGGATGCGTTCCATGTAACAGTCAGAATCCTTCGCCGGCCCCATGAAGTATCGATTTTCGTCACATAG